TTAACTTTAAGTAATCTCTACACCCAATGTGGGGCTTGAACTTACAACCCCAAGATGAGTTGCATGCTCTACCAACTTAGCCAGCCAGGCATGCCTCCAAAAGATTTTAAGTGAAGACTTTGATGAGGTTGTTTTAAAAAGAAGAAATGGCATTCAGTGGCATTCAGTGGTTAGCTGTGGTTCTGTTAGATCACACTGCTCAGGGCAGATTCCTTGCTGTGAGCGCTGCCTGAAAGCCCCTGTTTATCAGCTTGCTAAGTGACCCCGTGGTCTTCATCGGAAATACTGCTCCTTGCTTTCTATTCTAAACTTCAGCGTAACACACTGATGATGGCTAAACAGATGCTAGTTTTCACCCTAGAGGAGTCTACATTTCAATGATAAGCAGAAGAATTCCTATAAATAAGTTTGAGGCAGATCCTCACACTGTGCTCTCTGTCAGGTGAATCACAAGGCCGTTGTGGAACTCATTGCCCACCCGAGCTCCCAAGCATTTAGAAAATGTCCTTCATACCATTAGTTAGAGGACCTATCTGTATCTAATTACTTCTTGGTTTTGACACAGATAAACTGAACTACCAAAATCTTCTCTCATGAGCATAGATTATCTTCTAATGTTTCATGTAGTTTTGCTGATAGGTGATATTTAAATAAGCCTCCTAAAAAGAGAGATCGTGTCTAAACTTTTTAAGCTCTGTGTTGAACGAAACAGCCATCTCATCATCCCTCATATCAGTTTACTACCAGGTAAATATTTAGTTCAAATGACAAACAGTTCTGTATTGTACTGTTGAAAACCTTACTTGTAGCTAAGCCCAAATCTCCGATTGTCCTCTTCCCATTGTCCTGTCCTTGATGGAACTCCTTCTGAGCTTCCCTTTAGTTTCCAAAAAAGTCCCCTAGAGCAGTGGTTCTTAACTGGGTGCAATTTTTCCACCAGGGGATATTTTGCAATATCTGTAGACATTTTTGTTTGTTATGATTGGGAGGATGCTACTAGAATCTACTGGTAGAAAGTAAAGATGCTGCTAAACATCCTGCAATGTAGAGGACACCACACACACACACACACACACACACACACACACACACACACACACACACACAATGATCCCTCCTAAGACATCAACAGTGCTGCTGCTGGGATACTCTGCTCTACAGTATGAGGAATATTAATATCCTGGTGGTCCTAGTGACCACCATAGAGACATCTCGTATCTATATTTATTGAATTTAATTGTATTGACATGAAAACAGCAAACCTGATATTTGTAAATAGGTAGAGGAAAACATGAGCAATTCACAGAAATTATAAAGATTAATTATTAAGTGACGACGCTGGGCTAGGCATTATGTCCTTACAACTCCATGAAAAAAGCATTGCTCTTTTCTCCATTTTACAGAATGGAAGTGCAGTTCAGAGAGAAGTTAATAAACACGCTTAAGGTCACATAGATTGAAAAAAAAAAACAGAGCCAATATTTGAATCCTAGTGTGACTCCAGAGTTCATGTTCTTTCCCCGACAGCTTCAGAATGATCCTTTCCCATTGGGAAGAGAAGCACAGAAATAAAATTCTTGAATGAATCCTCATTCCCTGAAATTCCTACTTCACAGCCAAGAGGCATGTGAATCCATCCCCTGACCTGCTTTCTCCCATCTGCCTCCCAGTGCAGCCTCCTGCACAGGAGGAGACTGGTACAAAGGGGGGACACCCACACTGGCGCTGTGATCTTAACCTTTTCTTTTTATTATTATGTTATGTTAGTCACCATACAATACATCATTAGTTTTTGTGTGATCTTAACCCTTTATGCAGCACTTTGAAATCTTCCTCTTATTTATCCCTTTCAGTAATCCTCTGAAATAAGCAGTATAAGTATTTTCATGCTCCTTTTAGGCAGGAGAAAACTCAGGTTTGATAAGGTAGATTGCTAAAGGGCATCTGTCTTGTAAGGAGCAGAGAAAGAATCCAGATTTTGACTTCTCACTTGTGTATTTTTCTTGTGCTTTGTGCTGGAGCTGCCTCACTGAGCCTCCCTTTTAACCATCTCCTCGCTTGTTCATGAATAATTTTGTGGCCTTTATTCCAGAAAAAGTCCAAGGCTGCCACTGCGATGTACCATGATTGAGCTGGTGGCCTGTGTTTAGTTTTCTCGTCCACTTCATATTGTGGGGTGACGATTAGCCAAGCCCCTCCCTGCCCCTTCTCAGAACATCTGTACAGTTATGTCTAAATAGGTACATAAAACTTTTGATTCACTTTAAAATTGTACCATAAGAATGCATACTCTTTTACACTGTTATAAATATGTTTCTTCCAATTTTTCCAGGACTGGGCAGTCATAATCAATATTTCAGGGAGGTCTCTCTCTTCTCCTTAAACTGAAATTGTGATCCTTGTGCTGTGGGGTCTTGAGGATGATGGAGCTGATTAATTTCCTTCTTTGGTGCCCACCCAGGAACAAAAGATCTTATAAGATTGGTTATTTGACCAAACAATTTCATTGAAATTCTCATCCACTTCCTACACTAATGTAAATTCCAGCAGAGCAATGTAAAGAAATAAACCATTACTAATGCTAGATAAAAACATGGGTGACTATTCATTTGATTTCTAGATCAAGAAAAATTTTATACATGCAGAAGCAATGAAAGAATTCTCAAACGAGTAGAGCACCAAGGTTGAGAACCAAGGCTTGGAAAATTTCCCTTCCCAAAAGTTGTAAATAAAATTAAAAGGCAGCCATGGAAGTAGAGACTGGAAGGGATATGTATGGGGGCTTCGGAAATGCTGCTCGTGGTCTGTTTCTTGGTCTTGGGCTGGCTACATGGTGAATACACTTCTCATTGAGTGGTAAACTTATTTTATATTCATATGTATATGTATATATATCAACAAAAAGTCAAAGACAGAGAAAGGCAAAAGCAAACTTGTATATTTCATGAGTATGACTAACATAAATGCAAATAATAATGAAACTCAAACAATCCAGAAGAAAATTGACCAGAGAAATAGAAATAATTAAGGAACACAAAAACATTTAAAATATTTTTAATAATAAAAGCAATGCATGTATATGATAAAAAAACTTTCAACAATACAGAATAATATAGAATAAAAATTAAGATTACTTCATTCTTCCTTGACTCAGTTTTGCTCCTCTGGAGGAAATCACTATTAACAGTTTCTTTTTCATCCTTCCAGAAATTTTCTGTCTAGTATAAATGGAATTACACTATGACATAATATTATCCTTCCAGAAAATTTCTATTTATAAACATACATATATATTTAAAGCAAATGAAATCATACTGCACCGCATATCCATTTTTGCTTTGTTTTGTTTTGTTTCACTGAACAATGTCTCCTGGAGATCTTTCTTTATTAGTACATGAAAATCTACTTCATTGTTTTTCATGGCTTTGCATTATTCCATTGTACTGTGATTTACTTAACTATTTCTCTATTGGACATTGAGGCTGGTTTGTGTGTGATCGTGCACGTGTGCATGTGATTATAAGTGATGTTGCAATTAAAATTTCTCTAATTATTTTGGGACATTTGTTTAAACAATTGTCAGAAAATTCTTAGAAATGGAACTGTGGAGTCAAATGCATAGTATTTTTTAAGTTTTGTGAAGTAGTTCCAAATTGTTCTTCAAGGAGTTTGCTCCATAATATAAGTTTGTGTAAGGTGTATACATGAGAGTGCTTGCTCTCTTCCCATACCTTTACCAACACTAGGTATTATCAGTATTATTAATCCTTGACAATCTAATTGGTTTAAATGGCTTTTACTTTTATTTTTTATGGAGACTTCATTTTTTTAGAGAACTTTTAAGTTTACCACAAAATTAAGAGGAAGATACAGAGATTTCACATAAACCTCCTGCCCCCACACATGCATAGCTTCCCCCATTATTAACATCCCTCACCAGAATGGTACATTTTTTTTTTTTTTAACCAAGGATGAACCTACACTGACACATCATAGTCACTCAAAATTCGTGGTTTGCTTTAGGGTTTGCTCTTGTATATTTATAGGTTTGGGCAAATGTATAATGACATAATCATAATATCATACAGAGTATTTTCATTGCCCTAAGAATCCTCTGGGCTTTGACAATTCATCCTCCCCCCCCCCCCCCCCCCCACCCCCACTCTTACCAGCCATGGATATTTTTAGTCTTCAAAGTTTTGCCTTTTTCAGAATGTCATATAGTATCAGAATCATACAGTATGTAGTCTTTTGAAGTAGGTTTCTTTTACTTAGTAATATGCATTTTAGGTTCCTCCATGTCTTTTCATGACTTAGTAGCTCATTTCTTTTTTAGAACAGAATAACATAAAAAAAAAAAAGAACAGAATAACATTTCATTGTTTGAATGTACCAATATTTATTTATCCATTCTTCTACTGAAGGACATTTTGGTTATTCCAAGGTTTGGCAATTATGAAATGCTTCTATAAACATCTGTGTGCAGGGTTTTGTTGGCCAGAAGTTTTTAATTCCTTTGGCTTATTAAATACCGAGAAGTACAGTTGCTGAATCATATGATAAGAGTATATTTAGTTTTGTAAGAAATTGCCAAACTGGAACACCTGGGTCACTCATTTCGTTAAGCGTCTGACCTTGGCTCAGGTCATGATCTCACGGTCTTGGGATCAAGCCCCACCTTGGGCTCCATGCTCAGCGGGGAGTCTGCTTATTCTTCTCCCTCTGCCCCTCCCTCTGCTCATGTGCTCTCTTTCTCTCAAATAAATACATAAAATTTAAAAAAATTAGAGGTTGCCAACTGTCTTCCAGATTGGCTGTAACATTTTTTTTTTTTTTTTTTTTGCATTCCCAGAAGCTGTGAGTGAGAGTTCCTGTTGCTCCACCAGCATTTGTTATTGTAAGCGTTCTGGATTTCGGCTATTCTAATTGGTTTACAGTGATAACTCATTGTTTTGATTTGCGTTTCCTTGATGATATATGATGTGGAACATTTTGCCCATGCTCGTATGCCATTATATATCTCTTTGATGAGGTATCTGTTAAGACCTTTGGCCCATGTTTTTAATTGGGTTGTTTGTTTTATTCCAGTTGAGTTGTAAGACTTCTTTGAATATCTTAGATACCACTCTTTTATGAGATAGATTTTTTGCAAATATTTTCTCCTACTCTATGGCTCATCTTCTCATTCTCTTAACATTGTTTTTCACAGAGCAGAAGTTTTTGATTTTAATGTTGTCCAGCCTTTTAATTAGGTCTTTCCTGGATCATGCTTTTGGTGTTGTATCCAAGAAGTCATCTCAATATCCAAAGTTATCTAGGTTTTGTCCTATGTTATCTTCCAGGAGTCTTATAGTTTTGCATTTTACATTTAGTTTTGTGATCCTTTCTGGCTTAATATTTGTGAAGGGTATAAGGTCTGTGTCTAGATTAATTTCTTTGCATGTAGATGTCCAGTTGTTCTAGTACCATTTATTGAAGAGAATATCTTTGCTCCATTGTATTCCCTTTGTTCCTTTGTTATGATCAGTTGACTACACTTATGTGGATCTATTTCTGGGCTCTTAATCTGTCCCATTGATCTATTTGTCTAATCTTTTGTCAATACACACTGTCGTAATTACTTCAGCCTAATACTAAGTCTTGAAGTTGGTAGTCTCTATTCTTCAACTTTGTTCTCTGTCAGTATTGTGTTGGCTGTTCTGGTCTTTTGCCTCTCCATATGATTTTTTGAATCTGTTTGCCCATATCTACAAAATAATGTGGTGGGATTATGATTGGGATTGCACTGAATCTATAGATAATTGGGAAGAATGGACATCATGACAATATTGAGTCTCCCTACCCATGAATATGGATTCTCTACTTATTCAGTTCTTCTTTGACTTTGTGCATCAAAATTTTGTAGTTTTCATCATATAGATCTTGCACACACTTTGTTAGATTTATACTTAAGTATTTCATTCTGGGGGTGCTAATGTAAGTGGTGCTTTGTTTTTACTTTGTATATAGGAAAGTAATTGACTTTCGTATATTAACCTTGTGTCCTGCAACCATGCTACACTCACTTATTTGTTCCTGGAATTTTCTTTTGTCAATTCTTTCAGATTTTCTATATAGATAATCATGTCACTTGCTAACAAAGACAGTTTTATGTCTTCTTTCTTAATCTGTATACATTTTATTTCCTTTTCTTGTCTTACTGAATTAGCTACAACTTCCAGTGCAATGTTGAAAAGCAATGGTTAGAGGACATCCTTGGCTTCTCCATGATCTTAGTGAGAAAGCTTTGAGTTTCTCACCGTGAAGTATGTTAGCTGTAGGTATTCTTTATTAAGTTGAGGAAGTCCCTCTCTATTACTAGTTTACAGAATGTTTTTCTCATAAAAGGATATTGGACTTTGTCAAATGCTTTTCCTGTGTGTATTGATATGATTATATGATTTTTCTTTTTCAGCCTGTGATGGGATGGATTACATTAGTCAAGTTTCAAGTGTTGAACCAGTCTTGCATACCTGGAATATATCTCACTTGATCAGGTATGTAATTCTCTTTTGGATTTGGTTTTCTAATGTTAGGTTGAGGATTTTGCATCTATGTTCATGGCAACTTTTTATTCTAACTTTTATTTCTGCAATTATATGTGAAGTTGAGCATTTATGAAGAAATATTAACCAAGTAAGGAGGGCATCCATGCTTGGGTGGGGTGGGGGAGGAAGGAAATGATAGTATTGAAGTCTGAGTGGGGAAGTCATTGACTACGGGTAGTATTTAAAGCCACAGAGATGGATCACAGTACCACGTGAGAGAGAAAGAAGAGAGAAAAGGACTGAGGATGGAACTAGAGAGCCTGTTTCTAACTCTAGTTTTGACCTGACCACAGCCTCTTTGAAACCAAGACATCCATTTTTTTCTTTATCCTCAGAGAAGATCTCCCACTCACCAAATTTTCTGACAAATGACTTGTCAATAATGCTTGGGGTTTTTTCATAATGTGATGGTTATTTTTATGTGTCAGTTTGACTGGGCTAAGGAATGTTGGTAAATTGTTATTTCTGGGTGTGTCTTTGAGGGTTTCTCTGGAAGAGATTAGCATTTGAATTGGTAGACTGAGTAAAGATTCCCTCACCAGTGCAGATGGGCATCATCCAATCCACTGAGGACCTGAATAGAACAAAAACGTAGAGGAAGAGAAAATTTGTTCTATGTTTGTGCTGGGATATACATTTTCTCTTACCCTCAGACATCGTTGCTCCTGATTCTCAGGTCTTGCACTTATACCCAGATTTATACCATCATCTTGCCTCCATCCCACTCTTGGGCTTTTGGACTCAGACTGAGACTTAAACCATCAGCTCCCCTGGTTCTCAGGCCTTTGGACTCTGAATGAAATTCACCACTGGCTTTTCTTCTTCTCCAGCTTGTAGATGGCAGGTATAGGGGCACCTCTATAATTATGTGAATCAATTCCTATTATAAATCTCTTACGTGTCTCTCTCTCTATACATCCTATTGGTTCTGTTTCTCTGGAGAACCCTGACTAATACACATAGATTATGGAGGTCATTTCATAGGATTGACCTTTGTTCCTAGGGGCTAACCCTCTCCTCTCATGTTCCTCAACAGTTTTGATTCCGTTTATAAAGAGATTTCTATAAAGCCAATTCCTGTCTCTCCACAACTATGAAACTCTTAGAAAGGCACTCACCTCTCCCCTGTATTTATCTGTCTCCCTTTGAGTTTTCCTGGTTTCTCAGAACAACACTGCCAGCTGAGAAAAAAAGTTAGGTAATATTCTCATCACTGTTACAGCCCATTGCCAGAGAACTGCTCTAATTGGCTCCAGCCCAAGGTCCTCTGAGCTGTTTGGATCCAGTTGGGTCACTGATTTCACAGATTCTACATTGGCTATTGCTTCTACTCTGGCTCTGAGCTGAGAATCCTCGATGTGTCTCTTATCCTCTTCCTATCATTCAAGGAGACATTTCTGGAAATGTGCTCCTATTGTGAATAATTTCTGTAAGTTCCTGCAGGTGATCCAGACCACTGAATCTGCCTGCCCAGCCCTAATTCTCTGTAACCATCCTTGGGCCCTCTTCCCTTCTCTCTACTTAGAACTCCAGATCTTTCTATTTTCCCATTATCTCCAAACTTTGCTGGGGCTGACTCAAGTGGTTTTAAATTCCATAGCTTTAACTCTGCTAACTCTCCAGTATCTCTCTCTCTCTTTTTTTTTTTTTTAAAGATTTTTCTTTCTTTATTTATTTTGAGAGAGTGAGAATGAGAGAGAGAGAGAGAGAGAGTACATGAGAGGGGGGAGGGTTAGAGGGAGAAGCAGGCTCCTCGCTAAGCAGGGAGCCCGACGCGGGACTTGATCCCGGGACTCCAGGATCATGACCTGAGCCGAAGGCAGTAGCTTAACCAACTGAGCCACCCAGGCGCCCTCCAGTATCTCTTGATGATTAAGTACCCTCCAGCAACTTCTCAAGCCAATATAATAGTATTCTCGTGGGGAGGTGGTATGATGGTATGATATTATGGGAAAGGGAGGGGGAAAGAGAAGATGGAAAGGGGGGAGAGAATTGACATTAATTAAGCATAAATTCTGTGCCAGGCACCATGCTAAGATGCTTTGCATGTTCTCTCCCTCATCCTTTAAAACTCTGAGAATGGGTTATTGTAACCTCATTTTCCTGACAGGAAAAACATAAGATCAAAGATGTTAAATTACTTGACCCTAATCATTCAATAGGAAAGATGGAACTTCAGCTATGAATGAATCTAAGGTTTTTCTATATTTACTATGTGAGGCTTAAGCTGGATCATATGTTTCTATTATGGCAACCTAAAACCTCAAGAGATACTTTTCTTTGTTTTTGATCATTTTGTTTTTTGTAACCATATCACATTGTAAAACTGTTTGGATTTTGTGAAGTTACTTCAGAACATTTTTACATGAATGGGATCATACTGAAAACATTGGTTTTCAGCTCAGCTCTGAACTTATTGCTTTTATTGCCAACTAACACCTTAGAGGTTTTTTTTGCATGGGCAGTTGCATAGCTGCCCGTCCCCATCCTATTTCTGGTGCATTTGGTTTTACATTTATTTGCATGACAGGCATTTTATTAGTTCATGCCCTTGTAATTTCTTGCATTTGTTTGGAGAGGATTTTTTTTCTTAAAAAATGTTTAAAGTTTTGAAAAGGGAATATAATTTGATAAGTGAAAGTGGTATTTTATTACAGTTTTATTTTACATTGGCTCTAACTATGAATGAGATTAAGTATTTTTTTTAATATTTAAAAGCCATTTGTAAGTGGTGAACTGTCTAGTCATTTTTTTTATATTTCTACTGGATCATTGATCTATTTTCTTTGATTAATGAAAACTCTTCATTTATTAAGGAAATTAGCGCTTGTGATATGTGTTGCAAACATTTCCCCCAGTTTGTTGCTTATATTTTGATCTTATTTTCTTTTTTTATATACACAGAACTTTCTATTTTTATGTCATCCAATTTACCATTCTTTACTTTTTTGACGTCTGAGTTTTAAAAATTTTTAAATCATTTTTCATACCTAAAATCATAAGATCCTTTCACATTTTCTTCTATTATTTTCACACATTTCTTTTTAAACTATCATCATTTTGGCATGATTTTGTGATTGTCTTTATTTTTTAATTTACTATTATTATTTTTTTAAGTAGGCTCCATGCCCAGAATGGAGCCCAAATCAGGGCTTAAACTCAAGACCCTGAGATCAAGACCTGAGCTGACATCAAGTCAGACACTTAACCAACTGAGCCATGCAGAGGCCCCTGTGATCGCCTTTAAATGAATCTCTCTTCCTCCAGCTTCAGGACTCCTTGAATCCATTCTTCATACTGTAGCCACAATGATCTTTAAAATACAAGTTGAACCCTGGTACTTTACTACTTAAAACAATTCATGATTTCCATAACCCACAGATAAAGTTCAGCTCCTTAACACGGCACACAGTGATGTGACCATTACTTTTTTTTTTCCCCAGTAGGCTCTTCTGGTGATCACTCTGTTGTCTCTCAGTTCCGTGACTATTCATGATGTTACTTCAGCCTGGCAGTTTTGTCTCTGTACCACTTCAGTTCCATTTCCTTGGAAAATGAGTGTTAATCCACCACTGTTCTGCCCATCTGTCATCTCCTTCGTGAAGCATCTTCTGGCCTCTGCCCATAAGGGTTCCTCAGCTCCAGCACCTTGTATGTACCTCCACTATGTGTGCCTTATGGTATGGCATTGGCTGATTTACTCGTATTTTCTATTAGGGCAGGGGCCTTGTTTTATTAATGCTTGCACTCCCAGCATATGTACGAATTTTGGAACATAGCAACAGCTCGACAATGGTTTGCTGGAATGAGTTCCTTATTCTGTTTCAATGTTACTCAGAGTAGGATTAGGAACCAGTTGCATCAGAATGACTCTGGGTCCCTATTAAAAAGTGGAAATTTTTGGATCAACTGCAGACATGCCAAGTCAGACTGTGTTGGGATGAGGCTTAGGAATCCTTATTTTTACCAAGGTTCTGGAAATCCAAAAGCCTGCTTTTTCTTTTTTAATTGAGGTGAAATTCATGTAACATAAAATTAACCATTTTGAAGTGAGCAGTGCAACGGTATCTAGTGCATTTATCATGCTGTACAACCACCACCTGTATATAGTTCCAAAGTATTTTCATGACCCGAAAGGAAAACAGTTTTCCTGGTAGCTGACAATCTTTTCTGTCTTTGTGGATTTACTTATTATGGATATTTCATATGAATGGAGTAATACAATATGGGACCTTTTGTGTGTGTGGCTTCTTTCACTTAGCCCAACGTTTTCCATGTTCATCCATAGTGTAGCATGTATCAGCACTTCATGCCTTTTTATGGATGAATAACATTCTATTGTATGGATGTAAGATATGGTTTTGAGAACAGACTCCACTTAATTCTTGGCTTCAGAGAGGCAAGACACTTAGCTTCTCTATTTTTTTTGTTTATTTTTTTTAAAGATTTTATTTATTTGACAGAGAGAGACACAGTGAGAGAAGGAACACAAGTAGTGGGGAGTGGGAGAGATGGAGAGGAAGAAGCAGGCTTTCAGCAGAGCAGGGAGCCAGATGCAGGGCTCGATCCTAGGACTTTGGGATCATGACCTGAGCCGAAGGCGGACGCTTAACGCCTGAGCCACCCAGGTGCCCCAGCCTCTCTAAGTCTCAATTTTCTGAACTCTAAAATGAGGATGGTTACACGAATTTGGACACCTGTGCTGCAGAGTTGTGTGTTTAAGATGAGAGAATGCACAAGAAAGTGCCTGCTACTTGATCAGGCCCAGTGGCAGGTGCCAGACCCAGAGCCCAATCTACCCCTTGGAGCAGAGCTGGAGGGAAGGGCTGCGGGCTGTAGAAAGAACTCCAGCTGGGAAGAGAGTTCAGGGGTCTAAGGGTGGCTGTCTAGGCAAAATGTCAGCATCAGAAAAACCCAGCTGAAAGGAATGCAGTGTCACACTGATGGCTGGAACACAGCCTCGTGGCATCTAGGAATTGTGGCATTCAGACATTGCCACAAAGAGACGAGACAGCCCTCTTTGGGGATCAGAGGCAGACCTGCTGTTTCAACAAAGGACAAGCAGAAGCTGTCATCCAAGCAGGGACTCTTGTCTCCAAGAAGTTATGGGATGTGAGAGAACAAAGCAGACTGTGCAGTTAGAAAGAGGGTGGCGAGTTGGTCTGGCTCTAAGATTCACTGATGCCGGGTTTGATTGAACTAGAGTTTACATCCTGCCACGGGGGGCAAGATTGATTCCCCAAATTCCCTCCTCAGAAAGGAGAAGGGAGCCCTGGGGTGGTGAGGCCAGACACTTACCTGTGTAGCATTTTATGCGGAGATTCATGTGATATGTGGCCAGGGCTCCTTCCTTCCTTCCTCATAACTCTGTGTGTTTCTTCCTCATAAATCTGTGTAGGTTGTGTGTCCATCACATCACAATCACCAGTTCAGTCAAGAATTGGTCAGTAAAACAAACTCTGTTTCCTGCCCCAGGAAGGAGCCAGGTGTGAATGCCCCAGAGGCTGAGCAGACGTCTTGGTGGCTGCCACACCAGGAGAAAACAGGAGCCCAGAAGCCCTGATCCTGAGACTGACTGCCTGGAAGCTCACCCTGCCCCCTCCCCTCCACCATCTCAGGAGGTGCGCTGTGGTAAAACCTGTGGAGAAAAATTATAGAAAACTTCTGATTTTCTAGATGAGATTCCGAGCATCATCTAACTTTTTTTTAACTTATGTGAAAGCATTACTTTGACAACAACCAAATTAGAATGTCATTAAATAAGGTTAACCACTAGAAGGATATAGTGAGTATTTTATGTATGTATATTTACTTAAAATTTATATATTATTAAAATATATAGAATTTATTAAAATATATTAATATATTATACATATTATATTGTTAAATATATAAAATTTAGGTTATTAAACTATGTTATATGAGTGAAGTAAAAGGCAACTTAATCTAATAAAGGAATAAAAAGAGAAAAAATAAGAAAACATAGAGATAAGACAAAATATAATGATCATAAAATCCAAAACTGTCAAAAATTGGTAATATTAATTATTAAATACCCATAATCAGTAATAGTAATATAAATATTCTCAGGAGTAATAAAATATCTTCACGATTAAATAATTTTGAAAAATAGAAGATAAAAGATTGGCCAAAAATATATCATGTAATGTAATAACAACAACAGAAAATCCTTAGTTTTGTCCATTATTTAGCTATTATTTTATAAGTACAATTGTACAATAATAGAAGGCCTATAAATCCTTTAGATTATCTTATGGCTTACATAGTTTAAGAATACTAATTATAGGGGCGCCTGGGTGGCTCAGTCAGCTAAACATCCACTGTTGATTTTGGCTCAGGTCATGGTCTCAGGGCCCTGGGCTTGAGCCCCCCGTTGGGCTCCACGCTTAGCGGGGAGTCTGCTTCAGGATTCTCTCTCTCCCCCTGTCTCTCCCCCAACTCACACATACTCTCTCTTTCTCAAATAAATAAATTAAAAAACGAATACTAATTATTTATACCAAATCCCCCAAATCCACAAACTCGGCATCAGAAGGGGAAGTAGCTGAATGAAGGGGAGGCTTTGTCTCATTGTTTAGGAATCATGTGTTTAATAGCTCCTTTGCTTCCAGAAATTACTCTTCCGTTGCTGGATATGTCTGCAATGGAATTTGCTGAGGAGGACAACTTTGCTTTTATGGGCGTTTGCTTGTGGGACAGTTAATAATATCCTGTGCGTGCCTCCTCATTCGGCTGTGACAAGACTGCTCATGAGACTCACACAGAAGGCTTCTGTGTTCCTCTCTGGGTAATTATACTCCACGCTCCCTGACAGATGAAATGAGCCTTCTAACTTAGACCAACCTTGTGATCACAGCTTGGACTCTTTGTCTTGTTGCTGCCATTTCTCCTTCAATCATATTGTGCTATTGTGCTTAATCAGCTGTTTGGAGTCCTATATTATTAGCCTAAGCTGCACGCATGTACTTGAATCATGGTACTATTGTGACTGATATGTCAGTCACAATAGTCATCTTTTATTGATGGCTTACTATGTGCCTGTCATTGTTCCGAATACTTTACATGTATTATCTCATTTAATCTTCCCCACAGTTCCACGCACAGGTGCTTGCACCACTTCCATATTAATGATGCTAAAACTGGACCCCAGGGAGGTTAAATTACTTGCCCAAAGCTGTATAACTAGTAAATATTAGTGGTAGATTGGAATCCACAGAGTATGGTTTCTGAAGCTGCATTCTTTTTTTTTTTTTTAATTAACATATAATGTATTATTTGTTTCAGGGGTACAGGTCTGTGATTCATCAGTCTTACACAATTCACAGCGCTCACCATAGCACGTACCCTTCCAATGTCCATCACCCAGCCACCCCATCCCTCCCACCCCCCTCCACTCCAGCAACCCTTAGTTTGTTTCCTGAGATTAAGAGTCTCTTATGGTTTGTCTCCCTCTCTTGTTTTGTTGTTTCATTTTTCCTTCCCTTCCCCTATGATCCTCTATCTTGTTTCTCAAATTCCTCATATCAGTGACATCATATGATACTTGTCTTTCTCTGATTGACTTATTTTGCTCAGCATAATACCCTCTAGTTCCATCCATGTTGTTACAAATGGCAAGATTTCATTTTTTTTGATGGTTGAGTAATATTCCATTGTGTATATCTACCACATCACTTTATCATCTGTTGATGGACATCAGGCGCTTTCCTTTGTTTGGCTATTGTGGACAATGCTGCTATAAACATTGGGGTGCACCTGCCCCTTCGGATCATTACATTTGTATCTTTGGGGTAAATACCCAGTAGGGCAATTGCTGGGTCGTATGGTAGCTCTATCTTCAAATTTTTGAGGAATCTCCATACTGTTTTCCAGAGCAGCTGCACCAGCTTGCATTCCCACCAACACTGTAGGAGGGTTCCCCTTTCTTCACATCCCTGCCAACATCTGTCATTCCCTGACTTCTTAATTTTACCCATTCTGACTGGTGTGAGGTGGAATCTATTGAGGTTTTGATTTGGATTTCCCTGATGCCGAGCGATGTTGAGCACTTTTGCTTGTGTCTGTTGGCCATTTGGATGTCTTCTTTGCAGAAATGTCTGTTCATGTCTTCTGCCCATTTCTTGATGGGATCACTTGTTCTTTGGGTGTTGAGTTTGATAAGTTCTTTATAGATTTTGGATACTAGCCCTTTATCTGATATGTCATTTGCAAATATCTTCTCCCATTCTGTTGGTTGTCTTTTGGGTTTGTTGACTGTTTCCTTTCCTTTGCAAAAGCTTTTTATCTTGATGAAGTCCCAATAGTTCATTTTTGCCCTTGCTTCCCTTGCCTTTGGCGATGTTTCTAGGAAGAAGTTGCTGAGGCTGAGGTCGAAGAGGTTGCTGCCTGTGTTCTCCTCAAGGATTTTGATGGATTCCTGTCTCACATTGAGGTCTTTCATCCATTTTGAGTCTGTTTTTGTGTAAGGAAATGGTCCAGTTGTATTTTTCTGCATGTGGCTGTCCAATTTTCCCAACACCATTTGTTGAAGAGACTGTCTTTTTTCCGTTGGACATTTTTTCCTGCTTTGTCAAAGATGAGTTGACCATAGAGTTGAGGGTTCATTTCTGGGCTCTCTATTCTGTTACACTGATCTATGTCTGTTTTTGTGCCAGTACCACACTGTCTTGATGATTACAGCTTTGTAATAGAGCTTGAAGTCCAGAATTGTGATGCCACTGGTTTGCTTTTCTTATTCAACATTCCTCTGGCTATTCGGGGTCTTTTCTGGTTCCATAAAAGTTTTAGGATTATTTGTTCAACTTCTTTGAAAAAAGTTGATGGTATTTTGATAGGGATTGCATTAAATGTGTAAACTGCTCTAGGTGGCATAAATATTTTCACACTATTTGTTCTTCCAATCCATGAGCATGGAATGTTTTTCCATTTCTTTGTGTCTTCCTCAATTTCTTTCATGAGTATTCTATAGTTTTCTGAGTACAGATTCTTTGCCTCTTTGGTTAGATTTATTCCTAGTTATCTTATGGTTTTTGGTGCAATTGTAAATGGGATCGACTCCTTAATTTCTCTTTCTTCTGTCTTGTTGTTGGTGTATGGAAATGCCACTGATTTCTGTGCACTGATTTTTATATCCTGCCACTTTACCAAATTCCTGTATGAGTACTAGCAGTTTTGGGGTAGAGTCTTTTGGGTTTTCCACATAAAGTATCATATCATCTGCAAAGAGTGAGAGTTTGACTTCTTCTTTGCTGATTCTGATGCCTTTTATTTCTTTTTGTTGTCTGATTGCTGTGGCTAGGACGTCTAGTACTATGTTGAGTAGATGTGGTGATAGTGGACATCCCTGCCGTGTTCCTCACCTTATGGGGGAAGCTCTCAGTTTTTCCCCGTTGAGAATGATATTCACTGAGGGTTTTTCATAGATGGCTTTTATGATTTTGAGGTATGTACCCTCTATCCCTACACTCTGAAGAGTTTTAAACAAGAAAGGATGCTGGACTTTGTCAAATGCTTTTTCTGCATCTATTGAGAGGATCATATGGTTCTTGTTCTTTCTTTTATTAATGTATTGTATCACATTGATTGATTTGCAGATGTTGAACCAAGCTTGCAGCCCAGGAATAAATCCCACTTGGTCGTGGTGAATAATCCTTTTAATGTACTGTTGGATAATGTTGGCTAGTGTTTTGGTGAGAATTTTTGCATCCATGTTCATCATGGATATTGGTCTGTAATTCTCCTTTTTGATGGGGTCTTTGTCTGATTTTGGGATCAAGGTAATGCTGGCCTCATAAAATGAGCTTGGAAGTCTTCCTTCCATTTGTATTTTTTGGAACAGTTTCAGAAGAATAGGTATTAATTCTTCTTTAAATGTTTGGTAGAATTCCCCTGGGAAGCCATCTGGCCCTGGGCTCTGGTTTGTTGGGAGATTTTTGATTACTGCTTCAATTTCCTTACTGGTTATGGGTCTGTTCAGGTTTTCTATTTCTTCCTGGTTCAGTTTCGGTAGTTTATACGTCTCTAGGAAAGCATCCATTTCTTCCAGATTGTCTAATTTGCTGGCATATAGTTGCTCATAATATGTTCTTATAATTGTATTTCTTTGGTGTTGGTTGTGATCTCTCCTCTTTCATTCATGATTTTATTTATTTGGGTTCTTTCTCTTTTCTTTTTGATAAGTCTGGCCAGGGGTTTATCAATCTTATTAATTCTTTCAAAGAACCAGCTCCTACTTTCATCAATCTGTTCTACTGTTTTTTGGTTTCTATTTCATTGATTTCTGCTCTGATTATTGTTTCTCTTCTCCTGCTGGGTTTAGGCTTTATTTGCTGTTCTTTCTCCAACTCCTTTAGGTGTAGGGTTAGGTTGTGTATTTGAGACTTTTCTTGTTTCTTGAGAAAGGCTTGTATTGCTATATACTTTCCTCTTAGGACTGCCTTTGCTGCATCCCAAAGATTCTGAACAGTTCTGTTTTCATTTTTATTGGTTTCCATGAATTTTTTTAATTCTTCTTTAATTTTCTGGTTGACCCATTCATTCTTTAGTAGGATGCTCTTTAGCCTCTAGGTATTTGAGTTCTTTTCGACTTTCCACTTGTGATTGAGCTGTAGTTTCAAAGCATTGTGGTCCGAAGATATGCAGGGAATAATCCCAATCTTTTGGTACCAGTTGAGACCTGATTTGTGACCCAGGATGTGATCTATTCTGGAGAATGTTCCATGGGTACTAGA